TTTTCTCTGTGACCCATTGGTTATACAGGAGTGTGTTGTTCAATTTTCATGTGTTTGTTAGATTCTTGCAGTGTCTTTTACTATTGATATTTCATTGCACTATGGCCTGATAATATACAGGGGAATCACTTTAATTTCTTTGCACTTACTTAGACATGTTCTGTGAGTGAGTATGTGGGTCTATTTTGGAGAACGACCCATGTGCAGCTGAGAAGAATATGTATTCTGATTTTGTAGGGTGGGACACTCTGTAAACATCTGTTAAGTTCATTTGTTCAAGAGTTTGATTGAATTCTAGTATTGTTAATGTTCTGTCTAGTTGATCTATTTATGACATTGGGGTATTTAGGTCCCCCATTACTATTAATTTAGCGCTTATTTGATTTTTCATGTCTATTAGTATTTGTTTTATATAGATGGGCACACTAGTATTTGGTGCATATATATTTATGATTGTCATCTCTTAGTCTTTTATTGTTCCCTTTACAAGAATGTCGTGTCTGTCTTTGTCTCTCTAGATCATTGTTGGTTTGAAATCTGTGTGATGTGCAAAGAGGATAGCTGCTGCTGCTTTTTACTGGGTTCCTGTTGCATGGAGTATTGTTTTCCACCCTTTAACTTTCAGTCTATGAGTTTCTTTTTGAATTAAATGTGTTTCTTATATGTAGCATATTGTTGGATCTTGCTTCTTGACCCATTCTGCCAATATGTTTCTTTTGACTGGTGAATTGAGACCATTGACATTGATGGTTCTAACTGATATGTGTTTACTTATCCTTGTCATGACTTTTTCTTTTTGTTGGAATCTCCCCCTTTGCATTTAATTTCTTGTCATGCCTGATGGATTCATTCTCCTGGGCTTCCTGGGATTGTTATTGTCATTTTTGTTTCCTAGAGTATTGTTAAAAATTGTTTTTTGGAGTGCTAGTTTGGTATTCATGAAGTTCCTCAGATGCTCTTTATCATGAAAGTATCTTATTTCTCCTTCAATTTTGACAGAGATTTACAGGGTACATCAGTGTGGGTTGGAGGCTGTTTTCCTTTAGGGCTTGAAATATATCACTCCAAGCTCTTCTTTCCTTGAAGGTTTGTGTTCAGAAGTCTGCTGTGATTTTGATAGGCTTTCCTTTGCATGTGATTATTTATTTTTTTGTTTGTCTGACTGCTTGTAGAATTTTGTTCTTTTGGGTTTCTGCAATCCTATTATATGCCTATGTGATTTTTTTTATCACGGTGAGTTGGGATTTCCATATGCCTCACTTATCTCTATGTCAAAATATTTTCCCTCACTTGGGAAGTTTTCTGACATTACTTCTGTCAATAGTCTTTTTATATTGACTGCACACTCTCCTGTTTCTTCATTGACTCCAATCAGTCTTATATTCTTCTTCTTTGCATTATCTAGATTGGATAATGGATTGATTTCTCATGATCCCTTACTATTTTTTTTTCTGATTGAGTTTATTGGTACATTCTAGGTATACAGTACAGTTACATTCATCATTGGGATCTTGTACCTTTACATGACAGGTCTTTGTTCTTATTTTTTCCCCATACGCCTGCCCTTCCTTCACCCCCTCCTCCCTTCCCTATTTGCAGATACTTTATTTCCATTTTTTCATTTTCTCATATTTTTCTTTTCCCTTATATCCTTTCCTCTACCCTTCCCACTTCCCCTACACCTTGAGATCTTTTCTTCCTATTTCACATTGTCAATTATACCAGAGAAACTAATTGGTATTTACATGTGTGACTTATTACTATTTTTAAGAAATTTTTCTTTTCCTCTTCACTAATTGAATTCTGTCTTCTATATCTGAAATTCTGTCTTTGCATAATTCATTCTCCTGTGTAAACTTTCAATGGAGTTTTTAATCTCCTGGAAATCTGTTTGCATCTGTTTCATGGATTCCATTTGTTTCCTATGTTGGGATTCCATCATGTTCTTCAGCTCCTCTATTTTTTTTATCTGTGTCCACTCTAAACTTGTTAATCATATCTTTCACTGGGTGAAAGATATGCACTGGATGCAATCTCTGCTGTTGTCTGAGAAATTATTTGTGACTTCATTTTTTCCAGATCCTCTTTTTGTTGCCAGTTCAGGAAGTCCAGGAGTTTGAGTATCAGATTATTCCATCTTGTTTCCCTTTGGGGTTGCCTTAGGTGATCTAGAAGTCTGATTTGGGGACCTGTTTCTATGTGTGTGTGTGTGTGTGTGTGTGTGTGTGTGTTTGTGTGTGTGTGTGTGTGTGTATTTTTGTTTTTTTTTTTGTTTTTTGAGACAGGGTCTCACTATATAGTTGAGACTGACCTGAAACTCACTATGTAGCTCAGGCTGGTCTTGAACTCATAGCGATCCTCCTGCCTCAGCTTCCTGAGTGCTGGGATTACAGGCATGCACCACCACACCCAGTCTTTATATAATATTTTTAAAAATTAAGATTTTTTTTTTCCTCTGGGAGCTTTTTTTCCTTTCTTGTGGTGACATTTCATACTGATAGATCTGCGTGTTGATCTATTTTCATTTATCATGTTGGGTACTACATAGCTTTCTTTCATAGGAAGATTTGAATATTTCTCTTACCTTATGACCTATATATGATAGATATACTATATCCCAAATCATTAGGGATATAGACAATATGACCAATTCAATCAACAAGTTTGACCTAATTGTGTATAGACTAGTTACCAAAAACAGCAGAGTACATATGTTTTTCAGTGTATCTAAATAAAATATTTATGTAAAATTTTATCCTATGCTGGGTCATAGAATAAGTCTTAATATATTTCAAAGGATTAAAATTACTTAAAATATACGTTTGGCTGCTGAGTATGGTGGTGCATGCCTGTGATTCTAGCATTTGGGAGGCCAAGGCAGGAAGATTACTGGGAGTTTAAGGCCAGCCTGAACTACATTGAGACCCTGACTCAAAAATAAAACAAAAACAAAAACAAGCAATTCTTGAACATAGTCATTATATACTGTAAACATGTACTAATAAAAATTAAAAGTTAAAAAAATACTCTGAGAACAGTGGAATCAAGCAAGTATAAGCAAGGCATAAATAGAAAATGTATACATGTTTACAAATTAAATAATATATTTTTGATCATATTTGGTTCAAATGAATAATCGATAGAAAATAGTTTTGGGCTATAAAATATCTCATAATACATTTTGGTGCTCACTTACACTTTTCAGTTTCTCGCACCAGACAAATTATTTGATATTTACCCATGAGTGTCCTATTTATTTCACTTGAGTGTAGCCTCCATGTGTTAGCTATAAAGGTCTCTAGTTTCTCATTCTTTATGGCTGAATAGTACTCCATTTTATAAAAAACCCACATCTTGTTTAGATAATATGAAATAAAAAAAGGGGAAGGGGAAGTGAGAGAGGGAAGAGAAATGGAAGGAGGGAAAGGAAAAAATATGAGAAAAGAAGGAAAAAATGGAAACAAAGTTTTTTGTAAGTAGGGAGGGATGGAGGGATAGAAGGGAGGGAAGGGGAATAGGGAAAAAAGAACCAAGATATACCATGTACAGGTACAAATTCCCAATGATGAATGTGATCATAGTGTATTCCTAAAATGTACCAATAAACTTAATAAGAAAATACCATAATAAATGAATGCAACTGAAGTTGTTTTAAAGTGAAATTGATACAATTTTACATAGATATGTAAATTACTTAATTTATCCATTTCAAGAACTTCAGAAAAGAGTTGTAAGGTAATGTCACAGAAAATATAAAGAAAAAAATGGTAAAAACAAGAGAAAAATGAATGAAAGAGCGAAGTCACTTTCTAAACTATTTTAATCAATTCTATAAGTAAGAAAAGCACAAATAGCCCAATTACTGACAAGGAATTTGAACTGACATTTGCAAGAGAGTATACAAATGGCCTGTAAATGTGAAAATGCTGCTCGATATCATTAGCAATCAAGCAGATATATATCATCTCTTCAAACAAATATCATCATACACTGTCCATAACAGCTAACACTAGAAAGGTTGACAATACCAAGTTGTGACTAGAGCAATAGAATATACGTGGATGGTTGGAGAAGTATTTTGGTGCAGTCTCTTTGGAAAACACTTTGACATTATTTATTAAAGCGGAAGATAAATGGTAACCCAGTAATCTATGATACAGTAATTATGTTCCTAGACCTATATGTTAAATGTTTATAGTATGATCAAAAAATATGATAAATAGCTAATTTTTTTTGCTGTTGTTGTTTTTTGAGACAGGGTTTCACTATATACTTGAGACTGACCTGGAACTCACTGTGTAGCCCAGGCTGGTATCAACTCACAGTGATCCTCCTGCTTCAGCCTCCCGAGTACTGGGATTACAGGTGTGAGCCACCATGCTCAGCTGCTAAATATCTGATTTTTTAAAACAAATTACTACAGTGAAAGACACCCTGCCATTAATTCTCAAAACACACTTTCCATTATTCTTGTTACTTTCTGAAGCATTCTGGAAGTCTTGTTTTAGTGTCTTGTGCTGTTACGATTGACTTGATGTCCTGAATTTGATTCCAAACATTTACCTTTCATGGTCATTTTGACTTTGAGGGAGAGCTATATGTCTCATGGTGCCATATGTGGTGCATAAGGAAGATGAAAACACGTGTCAGAGTTTTTTATCAGCCTGCCTTTTTATTGGATGGCACTCAGCAGCAACATTCACTGTATTTTTCATCATACTTTATAAAGACACCAATGAAAGAGGACTTCTGGAATTGCTTCAGAATGTGGCAAGAACAGTGAGATAAGTGTGTTTGAAGTGAGGGAGAATATTTGGAAGGAGATTAATGGCAATGTATTTTTTACTATAATAAATTTTAAAATGTAAACATTCACCATATATTTTGATCAGCTCTGGTATACATGTGTGCACCAAAGGACATGATCAAAAGCATTTTAGTAGCACTACTTGTTAATTTAGTGTGTATCTTTGAATGTGATTTTCATTTGTTTTTCACAGCCAGGCAGATTTAGCCAGTTCCCTGTCTAATGCTGTACAGGTTGTTGGCATGAGCGCCACTCTCCCTAATTTGGAGCTTATAGCTTCCTGGTTGAATGCTGAACTCTACCATACTGACTTTCGTCCTGTACCACTTTTGGAGTCAGTAAAAATTGGAAATTCCATTTATGACTCTTCAATGAAGCTTATAAGGGAATTTCAACCCATGTTACAAGTGAAGGTAAATCACCACTATCAATATCTTTTTATTCAATGGCATTTTCTAACTAGTTATTAACATTTTTTAAATTGTATAATTAGAGGTTGCAAAGTTTGTATATCCATTAGAATTAGTATTAAGCTATACATATATATATATATATATCCATTAGAATTAATATTAAGCTAATATTAAAGGGTTGATGGTGATGGAATGTAATTGTGTCTTTAAATGATCATTATTTCCTAATATATAACATAAATTTTTTTATTTTAGTACCTAGAGGCAGCAGCACCACTGAGCTAAATCCCTAGCACTATAATATAAACTTTTTTTTTTTTTTTTTTTTTTTTGTTT